AATCATGATCTCACCTTCGAACATTTTAGTCGTCGTCACACCGCCTTAGGGGAAGCACATCAATGTACCCCAGTAACCAGGATGTTTACGTCATCGCACTGTTTGTTTACAGCGGGGAATCGTCATATGGTTGGAGTTTTTCCATGTATCATAAATTTGTATTAGTTGCTGTGAAATATAAGCTTATGTCAAGTTCGACGATGACAACGTATTCCACCTGTTGTATATACGTATTGAGTGTTTGATTGCAGCTAATCTCTTTATTCAATTTCTCACATGTTTCCATTCGTGAGACACAGTCCCTAGAGGAACGTGCTCCGGACTATAAACCAAGATCCACCCAGACTACACACACACAACGTCAGAAAGATGAAATATCCCCTCTCCCGTACCATAGAAATCCTTAATGAATGCGCTAACGCGTTCTGTGTGATCGGTTTTTAAACACACCATGTGTTTTGTAACAAGTACATACACCGACATATTCATTTCCTGCCCAGGAAAGTGTACTTGTAGTGACGAGGACGCTCATATTTGAACGCGTTTACTATAATACCCGTGCTATTTTAGAAAGAATTCACGAACAGAGATAAATCTGTATTGGGTGCGATTGTATAGAAGTTCGAAACGCGGACTGTACGTTTTCAAGTTTGCTGCTATTGACAAATACCCTCGCAAGGTCCAAATTTGCTTTGCCATTCGAGTTCTTCAAACATTCCCCATTGAAAGAACCGACAACTGAGTACCTTCAGAATAACAATGCTATGCTGACACTTTCGCATTCAGGAGGCAGGTCTACCTGTCTGGTACAATGATTTCGAATGGCTATTGGACAATGTGTTTTTGTCAGAAAGAGTTCGGCATTGGGGTATTCAACAGTTAAACAGTTCCAGGGTGACAATAAACGAGTAACAGGGTCATAGTATAAAAAGCGACGAGAAGTGGTGGGAAACAATGCATCACACCGAGTACATTGCAGTGGTGTATTTTCCAATTGTCCCGCTGAATATCCAGCACGTAGTGGGTGTTTTGTTCGACTTAATCCACCCGGTAAAAGTTGTGTTATTATATCTATTATCGGATTTGCCAACGTGCCATTGTGAAGTTTGAACCTGAGCACGTACATTAGTTATTTATTTATTTATTTATTCATTTATTCATTTATTTATTATTTATTTATTTATTTATTTATTTATTTATTTATTTATTTATTTATTTATTTATTTATTTATTTATTTATTTATTTATTTATTTATTTATTTATTTATTTATTTATTTATTTATTTATTTGACAAGTGTTCGAAGTTCTATTTGCATTTCATATAAGCGCTTAGCTTATTTGCTTACACTATCTTCTGCGAATCGTCTTGAGTCACAAAAGACACCGTGACGGTTTGTGCCACCACCAGTAGAATTGCTGTCATCCATAACCTTCTTCGATACTAGTGCTGTGGCCGTGGAAGACAGAGACACTGTGTACGAACCACGGAGATTTAGTCTCGACGTGTAGAGTTCATGACCTACTGGCGACTTTTTAAACCAATTCGTCACGCGATGCGACCCGCCCTGCCTATTACACAATAGAGAGATATATAATCTCAGAATTGTTATCTGAGATATAATAATGTAACAAAGACATCAAGGCGCATTTATATATGACCATTCAAATTAAGATAAACGTGCACGTTCGCCTCATTTTTTTCTTGGTATGACAGTCACGAATGTTTTTTGTTGGGATAGGTCCGGAACTTCTCGTCGAGACTAAAGTCTATTTGTGGGCGTGTATGAATGAATCAATGCAACTATTTGGCATTCAACACAGCAGAGAAAATCACTGGGTGACGGAAAATATGTATGTAACAAGAGATTGACACAAGCGATTTATTGAGCAATCGCTAATTTGGTAAAAATCGATTTCAAATAATTATAAGCGAGAAATCTCCACGATGATAGAGAAAACTGAGGTTCTTAGAAATATAGTAGTACTCACTATCTGAGTAGATTCACGGCGCTAGATCTCGTCAGAAGCTAAAAATATCTATTCGAAATTGTTATTGCAGCTAGTTTTGTTTTTACCCACTATAAATATTGTATATATTATTGCTTAGGATAAAGTTGCTCACTAGGAACATTCATAGAGAATATTTGAGGTCTTGGGATTATTATGTCAACTTCAATAATCATAGTTCACCGGAATTCAAACTTGTTTCGAACTGCGACACACATGAATTCTGAAATATCAAATCATACAGTCAAATTCAGTCTATCAAACATTTCACATGATTGTCAATTAAAGCGGGGGAGTCGTCACCTGAGCATGCGTCAGATGGCCATAGCGTGTCAATGTTTACAAACAAGCATCTACCCATGAGCCTTTGCGTTTTTAACGTGTCTTGTTATTATCGCTTGGGACTCAATTCCCGCGCGTGCGCAGGTGACTACCCCCGGAATAATCACAGAATGTGATTTAAGCCAAAAAATACAAGTCTTGCTTGGCATTATTTTGGACATGTACTATTATTGAAGTTAGTCTGCCCATAGATTCCAAATTGAGTAAAAACCTTGCTGTCGACAGTCTCGAAACGTGACTCTATCTAGTTCAAGTAGTTATAGAGATGAATGTACAAATGTTCCCAAGTAAAAAAAAAAAAAAAAACAGTCCCAACTCCTACAATACTTGAAACCTGTGAAATAATAATCATAAAAATGTCACAATTCATGCATAAAATATCGCTAACACCTTCAAGCTGTGGTATCTCAGGAGCGTAGGTAAAACATATCGCTAAGACACGGTGGTGTGATTATGACTTGTCGATGGGGTCACATGGGTACCAATGTGATGCATGAAATCTATGAGTAACCGAGAGGGAACGGAGATTAAACTATTCCAGTCATTCTTCATACTCACAGCAACCAATAGACCACGAACTTTGTTCAGTCAATCCAATGCATTAAACAATATATTGGCAAGATAATCGAATTGAAAAAATGTCAACTAAGTGCTTTTCTGAAAAGACGCTTTTGATAAACTGGCTAACAGCAAGGGCTTAATTTACGCATGATCCGTCTACGTACGTGATGCGCATCGCAACAACATTTGTTTATAGCGCAATTTTGTTCTTTCCGCATCTGCCATGCCATTAATAATCACGCGTAAATGGAATCCTAGTCGGAGCTTAAAACACATGTGTTGCTCTCATTGGCATTTTAAAATTTCTTATTTTTTATGAATACAATATGGCGTGATATCAATAGATCGAAGGATGACATTAACGGGGACTATGGCATTGTTTTTTGTTTTGAGATACGACATGGAATTCACGAATCGACGTTGTGGTTAAGAACAAATACTTTGTTTTGCTGACACATATGCTCCCTATGTTGAGTAATATGATGACCTATATATATTTGCATAACACCTCTTAGATCCATACCTGCCTTTGCAGGACGACGGAGTTATTGAGATACTTCATCGTAGACCTGAAAAATAAATACGGGTGTGACATCGCAGCTCTCATGCTACAATTGAAACAAACTCAAAATATTTTACTCATAGAACCGAAAAGTTTTTTTTTTTTTTTTGTTTTTAGATTTTAAAATCTAATAATTTAAAATAAAAATAATCAACATCACAGATGTTGAAAATCACAAAATTAAACTGATTCAACTACACAGGATATGAAATCTCAGTAACGTTGACCCAGTTGGCTTTCTGGTATATTGTTACATAAAATAGCGTGAAATACAAACGTTCCAGATGCAAATATGGTTGCAATGTGGAGAGGATTACCGCTTTAATGGCGAAATTCTAATCGTGGTGTAAAACCTAAAGTTTTACTAGCTCGATAAAATACTGCGAGCTTCATCCACAATATGTAACGTAACGTTCTTTATTTACTTTCCAGCATGGGTTCATGAAAATAACCTCATATGCCCCAAAAACTGTTTTATATGGTCTGTTATGGAAACAACAATTACAGTACACAAAAAAATGCGATAAATGTATTACATTCGCTATTAAGAGACATGTTGGACGAGGTTGGACCAGAGGTGAAAAATGCCCGGAAACACATAATTAAATGCCCCGTATACCAGATCAATATTCTTGTCAAATGTTTCCATGTCTCACTCGCGTCCCACTTACTAAAACCAAACTGCGGACGGTGTCTTGGTGACCAAATATCGGTTTGCCCCATAAAAGATGACGCCTACGACCCCAAAACACAACGTTTCAATAAAACTTTCTTATTTCAAACCTCCAATCAAATGGACAACTGTATTCAGTGCAGAACCTACTCCTATTTTATGACTGTTTCTAATTTATAATGCAGTCTCGTTTTTAGACGCGAGGTCAACGCGTCCCACCG